TACAAGTGTGAAATATGTCTGCTTTTGGTTTCAAAGAGCAAAGTTTTAAAGCTTTGAGACGAAAGAAAGAAGATTTCATTGGTTTATAGAATCGGATGTATGTACATATACAAAGAAATGGAATTCGGGGAACGGGTAAGCAAAATTTTATTATTTGTCTGTCAAGCAACTGGAGCCAAAAAGTATAACAAAAAATGGTTTTGGTGTCTACTGTCTACTGGTAAAAATATATGTTGATGTGAAACTTTTGTTATGCTGTGAAACATACATGCATGAAGAAAGTAATGGTTCTAGGTAATGATTTTATTGTCTCGAGACTCGAGAGAAATGAAATCTTGAAAATGAAATACCTCGATCTTCTCCATATCGTCGCAAACCATACTGCTCTTTTTTTAACTTTTACATGAAAGTGGTGTTCCTTCTTATGTCTATCCCATCAGCATATGTATCTCCTCTTGTACCAAGTAATATTTAAGAAAATTCAGTGATAAAAAATGAATACATGACCTCAACTGGCTAGCAGGTTATCATAAAAGTGTTAACCACAAATAAAGATAGCAATAATTAATCATGAATTAAAATATAATTTCTAGTTTAAAACCTACACGCAACCAATATATAATCCAGTAATAACATTATATTTTTTTGTAAAACAAACGAGTTTTACTGACAAGGTCCTTGAAGAGTGCAAGTTTATGTATTCTTTCTCCAACTAGTTCTGGGGGGAACCGGATAGTGGAAGGAATCTCGGTAGGAATTGTAGAGAGTTTCTGGGGAAGAATCAAAACGACAGGATTTTCACCAATTTTGGTATCTGGCTCGTGCGGACGACCCAGCCAGCCAGTTGCGTTGAACGATGCGGAGAAGGAGAGGAAGCACTTTGTATGCACTATCATGCGTGAAAACTTTCTCTCCAACTATTCCACGTATTCTGACTTGGTTCGTGGTGCAGCTCTGTTCTCTGGTTTTAAGCTCTTTGCGTTGCCCACCCATCAGCCCCGATGCCGCTTAGGACGATATACGAGCTTGGAAATGAAAGCAAATTCATGTTTCAAGACTTGGGATAAGCAGATTGGCATTTTCTGAGCAGGTTAACCGGCTCGCTGAGATTTAGGAAAGTTTTCAACTAAAAAGAGCAGCCGAAACTTATTCCTTATCTCTAAATCATCATGAGTTGGCGAGTCAAGATGTTAGTTTTTGTGGTGTTAAATCACGATCCGAATTCCGGACTTTCAGACATGCATTATATGCATATAAAAATATATTAAAATTTACCAATTGTGCTTTGAAATGAAAGAAACAACTTGAGACAGTTTTCTCATAGCATGCTTTATAAAATCACATTTTCATTTCTTTCCAAATGTAAACTTTCACAACATGAGAAACGTTGCATATGTATATGCTTCGAAGGTATTTATTACGAGAACGAGACGAAAGTTATGGTTTGGTAGGAGTACTGCACTGGTTTTCGTTCCTATGAATATATGTAAATACATGCATATCCTTATGCGACTCACGCACATGAGTGCAAGCACTTTCTACAAGTATACTGAGTATCTATATAAGTACAATTTTCATTCCCCCAACTTCAGCGCAAGGTTAGCACAACTTTGTTATTGTAATTTGAATAATTATTGTTGAGTAATCAGACGTCAACCAAGGTTGGAAGACGGTAATCCTGTGAGAAGTAGAGGGTGTAAGCGCAAATGTGTATATTCAGAATGTCCTTTCTGGTGAGCATGCTTAGCTACTGCTTGTTGAGAGCTCGTTTTATTGCTGAAAATGAAGACTGATTGTGGACTTTTAAAGTTTCCTCGTTTGGAAATATTGGATGTGGAATCGCTCTCGTCATCTGATGTTGTTTAAACATTGAATTCACAAACAACTTGATTTTATAAATGCCTTCCAGTTCAACTTCTGTAAAGTAAGTTGAGGAAACTTGGTAGATTCTCGACGAAGACGCGTCTTAGTAAATTTTAAAGCACATTCCGTGTCAGGTTGGTGACACATGTAAGGAGTGTGATATGTTTATTTAACGTATTTTCTACGACGAATGAACTAACTCTGAATTTCCTGAAAGTTGGAAGTCGTTGAGGGAAATAAACTAGGCAGCTGTCAATTAACGGAGTGCAAATCTGGTCGGAGAAGATGGACGGAAATTTAATTTAACCAACTCTATTTTACGTATTTCCTCTTCCCCTTCCATTCCAAGATGATTCTGCCACGAGTTATGTATCCTAAGTCCATGACAGGTTGTCCTACTCATCCAATTAGCTGTTTGTGTCATCAATAATTTCTTACTCCTGCAGTTTATGTGATTAAGTAAGGAAATCAAGAGAATTTTGATGAAAAATAAATCTTGATTAAGTAATTTATCGTATTTAGTTAAAGTTTAGAACTCACACTGAATGCATTTACATATTTAGTAATTTTACATCAGAAATTCAAAATATTCATTAGAAATTCAAAGGTTCACCGTTCTCAGTGCATTTTACTTTTCTTTAATTCTGGATTTTTCAGAAAAAGTCGAAAAGTGTTAAAGATGTTTGTGGAGAAGTCGGTGCTATAAATAAATATGCTTAAGCTCGATTTTATGCGAGGTGTTGCGTTAAATTTATATCTCATCATCGATCCTGTGGGAGTTGAATTGATTTACGGTTTATGAGATTGAACGATGTGTGGGCTTTTAACGATGACACACACGATAGACATACGTAAACATCAATTTATGTTTGTGAAATCCATATTGACAGCACTTTGGTTTGATAAGATTTTATGGTGAAATGGAATGTGGAACGTATGCTCTTCTTGGAATTTATATTTCTGTTAGTTTGTATAGTTCACGAAGATTAGAAAAAGGATGAATATTCCATCTGAATACATACAGATTCATCTTTAACTAATATTGAACTTTGTACTCAACTCGTGAAAAATTTAAGCCAATTAAATATTTCATTCAGTATTCGATTTCAGTGTGGCGTTGAATTATGGATTTCTTCCAATCCAGTGAATCTCATTCTTCCTTTTAATGCAAGCTTGATCACCACTCGTCCATAAAATTGGATCTATTCATCAATGCAATAATACTTAAACAACAGATGAAAACTCGATTAACAAAACAATCTACGCTAAGTGAATCTGCCAGGAACACGAACACTCGGACAAACCAATTACCATTACAACGGTCTAAATAACTAAGCATTCTGAGAAGGATGAACAGAGCAATAAAAGCATATGGGTTTTTTTGGGCTGTTGTAAAGAAAGCATGTTATAAAAGTTTTTACCAGATAAAGTTTCCTATTCTTTGCGTTCGTTTTAATATGCAGGATTTCCGTCCATCTGGAATAACCATAATACAGTAAAATCAGCCATCTCAAGTTCCTGTCGTGAATAATGTACGAGTGTGCTTATCTGAATGATTGGTTTTATTTCTTCAGCATGCATATGCCATGCAAGATCACATTTGGGCTTTTGTATCTAATGTATTTTTCATGATAAGTACATTAGCACTTCACGTCTTTGTCTTGATCAGTACTATTTTATTTTCAATTAATTCTTGTTGGCATATTTGGTGGCATTGTGTTCTACAATCACTCGTGCATAGCTCTAGTGTGTGTCGAAAAGAAGAAAAAATCAGTTCAAGAAGACGGAAGATTGCGTTCATATGACTCGATTGAATTTTATTTCCTTCCCATATTGGACAAACGTATGACTGGCTGGTGGAAGGTATATGTAATCCATTTATGGCAGAAAATATGAGATTTCGTCATAGCACTTCTCTTCCAGAGTGGTGATTTTCAGAGAGGAAATAGACCGGGCTGCAACATTGAGATTTCAGAAATCAGTGACTTGTAGTTCTTCCACAGATATTATTGATTTTGCTCCCCTTCCCCCTCGTCAACTGTGAAGCACACCAGAAGTGCTGCTGCAGAGAGAAAGTCATGTCCACCATATCGGCTTAACTCACACTCGCAAAGTCGCAACTATTATTACCGTTCTCAACTACCCGGGTTGAGCTCGATTCAACCTACGTAGCTAACCCAACCTGTTTTTAAGGAAAGTGTTGGGAAGGGAAAAATAAAAGAAAGGTTGGTTTGATTCCAAGTCAAGAGTCAACAGACGGTCACTTTCTCATAAAAAATACAAACCGAATGGATGAGCACATGTATCAGAGTTGGGTCAAAGAAAGGCATCACGGATGAATAGGCTGTTGTACGTAGACAAACTCATAAAATTCAGTGCGTGTAATGTGTAGCGAACGAATTGACAAAGGCCTCTCAAGAGAAAAGTCAAGAAAGTACTTGGTCGTACATGGCCGTACATACTCATTGTGTTTGTTTCATGATTTTGGCTAAAAATACGCTAAAACTTGCATGAATCAGCTTTGGGAGTTTTTTTAAAGAAATTGATGAGCAATAATAGATGAATAATCGTGATGGATAAAACGTAAAATTTGTTGTGTAATTCACATCAAAATTATTATTATCGAACACTGGGTTTTAATGCTTCGTAATTATCTTCAAAAACATTCGAAACCCCAAACCTACAAATTGTTCAGAACTTTATGAAAACCAATTAAAATTGAACCACGTGGAGCTTAGTTATTTTAAGTTCGAACTCTCAAAACCTGTGTAATTTGTTATTATTGACTACACTAATTAATGATATTCCAAAGTTAATCTGCATATGCATAACTAATTAGATTGGTTCTGGGTTGTTTATTTATTTACCACAAGTTTCTTAATAACACCCACGCTAAACTGCTAACAAGGTTTGACATACGTATGCACGCTATTTATTCAACTTCATTTGAACCAAAACCAAAGATGTCAAGTCTTGTCAGTCTAATTAGAAATCAAAAACCTAATGAGCAACTTTTGCCAACAAACTCAGAAAAGCTGTCTCAACTTTTTCTAATTTAAAATTGAAGTTAGACATTAATTGCTTCATGTGTTTTGGACTTACAAAATTTTTATCCGACTTTAATTTTCTCTTTCCAGGAAGTCAAGATTTGTCTGGAAGCGGAGGATACATGCCGTAAGTCATTAGTAATATTTTTCTAGCATGGGAATTCAGATTTCCAATACTTTTCTTCATACTTTTAAGCCATGCATGAGATCATTTCGAGTTCAAGAAAGCTTTTATGCAAGATGAAAGATGTGTTTCTTACAGTTCTTTGAAAAATGTATTCGTAAGTTAATCAAGTCCTCCGGGGGGATGACTTCTTGTCGATTTTCTCTTGTTTGTCACTGTGCAGTAGTGCAAAAGCTCTCATTAATGTAATTGCCCTGACAGAACATTACATATGCGTAGATACATTGTATTATCACTTGCACACGGTTGCTCAGCATACTTAAGACTGTTGGGTAAGAGAAAGCAAAGGTCTAAAAAAGGGAAAGGAACAAATTGCCCAATTAGTAAATTAAAATTGTTACATTATATTTTTCACTCTTCACTTGAAATTAAGATAACAACCAATTTTCCAGACGAATAATTTTATTCAATCGTCATTTCGTCATTTCCTAAATAAGCAAAAAAAAACAATTTATATTACCAAAGGAAATCTATTTGCCAGGGAGAGAATGGGGTGGGACATCATTTATTTACATGTTATGCACACATTATAGCCATGATTATGGCACTTTTGAAATTGTATTGTATAGTAACTTGCCAGCGTTTTTGCTAGTATTCTCTGACTTAAAACCTTTTCTGAACTCTGGATGTTATGAAAAATAATCATGAATAAAGTAACGTCAGTAAATGATTGCGGGTAGTAATTACGATACTCATCATCATTGTTTCAGCCCTGTCGGCATTCACTCTTTCTTCTAAAAAAGGATTTTTGGTTGCGGTAGCGTTTGTTGTCAATTTTGCAATTGCACCGCTATTAAATGTACATACGTTGGTTGGTGCCATTTGTAAATTTTATTTCACGTTGGTGTTAATACTCTTAATGATAGGGAGGGCTGGTACGAGATGAAGCAGTGTCCTGGGTGGTGTTGAGCTTAATAACAGGGTGCACACTACATCATTTCTACATCGGGATCTTTGATCTTGCAACAGAACTGCCTTCAAATTTCAAATTCTACGCTGCATCTTCACGTACATATGTACGAGCCGTAATATTATTTGGTGTATGTATGTGTTGCGCCCTCGAATAAAAACTGTAGGACCATTTTCTCTTCTCGTACATGTGTACGTCGTCCGTCATTACTGAGTTACCTCCACAGCTCTCTGTGTCCGAGTCGGCAAGATCATAGATTTAAAGTTGTGTAGTACATGTAATTACAATCAAGTGCACCTTGAGCGTTATTATGGATAATCGAAGGTGTGAAGTAGAGGGCCCCTCGCCGTGCTAATGAAAGAGTTTTGAAATTTTGAAATAGCTCCATTCTCTCGCACTTACATATTACCCACCAAAAAGTGGTTTGATTCCTTTGAATCACAGTATAATAATCATTACAGTCGAAGCCAAAAATACATAGCTGAGCATAGATGTAAATACGTGGGATAATTTCACAGCATGCACGAGTATCTTGACGATGACAATAAAGTCGATAACTTTAAAAATTATCAAGATAATATGCATGCATTTTTATGTCTATTTAGCCTACTAAAATTTGTTCCAGTAAGATCGTAATTTATGTCTGCGGATGTCATCATTAATTGTGTATATGTATGTGTTAATAGTGGTCACCATTGCCGTACGAGGTAAGTAGTTGCTTGGCTGCCGTGGACTAAAGCGGTTGAGTAAAAGTCGTGGAGATGTGCGGGCGGCGTATTAAGATTTGAATTACACATTACAAGATGCATAGACGTACCAAAGTCTCAGATAAAAAATGATGTCGACAAAAGATAAAGCAAAGGCCTCAAGGCGTAGAAGCGGTGTACGTATGTACTGTCAGTGAAAACACTTTCCAACAACTACTGCACCTGCCTGATAAAAATGCGTGCATTTTGTATCGTGGTGTAGATTGTTGAGGGTTAAAAAGATAGGAATACTATTCTTGAACACTCGCATGCGTATGTACATGTACCTAGATTTTGAACCTATTGGTTGGTACTGGCGGTGTCATACATACATACATACGAGATATATAGAGGCGAAGAGATAAGTTTGGTTTCCGTTCACCTCCTCCCTTTAGACTCGTTGAAAAGGTACATGAGAAGAGTCTTGAAGAGCTTTATTGAGCCTCGGAGAAAAATAAGTTTTTGGTTTGATGATGACTTTGCCATGTCGAATCCACCGACTCCACAACACAGAGCTTGTAAGCACAGACAATGGGACTCGAGTAATTTTCAGTTACTTTGGTGTTGGTTAACTTCTCCATCTCCTCGACGAATTCCGGGTGTATGGAAGGAAGAAACAAGAGTGAGACTTCTTTGTAGCATTCTTTTCAACTCTTCTCCTAGAACTCTTTTTCTCTGCTGTTCTTCTTCGGAGGAGATCTGATGAGTCTTGGGCAAAAAAATTCTTTGTTGGGTATCTTTGAAGTGCCGCTGCTGTAATGTTGTATTTCTGAAGGAACTGGGGGACCGACAGGTGGTCAAATTAGTGGTTACTTGGTACATGCAGAGGAGAAGTGGTACTTCTATTTCTCGGGTTATTTCTGCCTTTAAACTTATTACCACGACCAAAACATTGCAACTTTGAAAAGGGACACAAGTCAGCACTAAAAGCAGTTGATGGTAATAAGAGAGATGTAATGGTGGGTATCAGCCATACTTAAGGGAATAAGTGGCCGTGCATACACACATTGGGACAGACTTGGTTGGGGTTGTTACGTGAAAGCGAAACCTTTACTAATTTCTATCAATGTATAACGTAATTCTTGCCTGACTTTGAGTGTTTCAAACAACAAAATCTTCACTACTGCTATTATTATTATTATTATATTATTATTGTGTGTATGCCTATTGTTTATATTCCACGTGGAAGATGGACCATAACTGAGGAGCCTTTGTGACTCTCTAACTGACTGAATTATGTAGTATTTCCTTTCCTCTCATCTTTGAATATCAATCAAATCAGGCCTTTTGATTGCCTTCAATTGGTTCATTATTGTGCTCAGCTACGCTCGTAATGCTGATGCCTTTTACTTAATACTCGCTGATTGATATGAATGTGACAAAGAAACTAAATTTTACCATCCAAATTCATGCGAGCGGAGATTTATCCTCAAAGATATTAAACACCGACTCTGAAAGTATAAGTATATTCAGGATTTGGTTAGTTAGAAATGTCAGAGGTAGATTCTTACATAGTTAAATATGAGACCACCTGCTAAGCTTACACCTGTGCCTACACCTTGTACACTTTATTTAGTCTGATCCACGATTCATTCCACTAAAGCATAAGCTTTTTTATGTCAATGGATAACAACTTTAATCTAATAATATGATAACCAATAGCATGAACGAATCTGTAATGATAATTAGCAGCAGACTTGAAGCTTTAGGTTCAATACCGGAATAAATTTAATTGTGACGACATAATTTAGTTTTAATAAGGATTTGCTTAATGTATTTGTTGGTGGTCTTTGAGCCAGGAAACTGTTTTATTCCTTTACATGATCGCATTGCCAATATATTTCGTGTATGTAAACTGATTTGTTAAAAAATCCCGAAAAAGCCAGGCTTCTTATGTGTGTATTTGTATGTAGGTGATGCGGAAAAAAATTGGTGAAGGAATTTAATATAAAATCCCCAAGGATGAGAAAGTACATAAATGGACCCCGTGCATCACCTAACAATAAAATTCTGATTTGTTTGGTAACAATCTCATTTGCCTGCAATTTAACGGTAGTACGATTTTAGTAAGTCGACTAATGTAAACTATGTAATAATGATGAAAAACAAATTCATGATCTGATCCACGCTTCGTATTCAATGCAAATTTATCTGTTGGTGTCTGTTATGTGCAACATCTAGATTATTGTTTTGTCACATTGCACTTGTTGCATTTACGCAAAGTCAGGTGTGCTTCATTCAATTGATATTCAAAAGTGTTGAATCTATCTATTTTTGTTACAACAAGTAAATCAATAGCCATCGCGTATCTTAATCCTCGAGAATCATCTAGGGTGCTGGCTTCGAATTCATGCAGTTTATAATACATACTCGTATAAACATGATGTCGATGCCCGACCAAAATGATACAAGCAAGTAGTTACATAGTTCGCCCGACGGAAAGTAAGGTGGATCAGGCCATGATGTGTGACTCCATAGTTATTACTTGCACAACAAGTGCTATCTCCTCTGTTTATATAGCTTGTGATGAATGCAGTCGCCAATTTAATATGACTGTAAAGTTGCCGACTTACAGATAAGACAGACACGATATCAGTTGACACATTTTCATAATTTGGAAAGGATTAGCAAAGGCTAACGAATGCAAGGCTTATAGATTTTTACATTAACAAATAAACAACTAATAAATGCCATCGACTTCTTCTTTTTCCTTTATATGTAAGTATTTAAGCAACTAAACTTGGGTTTGTCGGCATTGGGTGTGCTTTAGTTTGAAATGTGTTTTTACTATTTTTCCATGAACCTGTTCATTAAGAGGACATTTATACATATCTTTGTACATATGTGTGTATGTCCTAATAATTACACCGTGCCACATCAAAAATGTCTGCATATTTGTCCATGTCCATGTATGTACTGACTGAGAATTCTGAGGGAGACATCGTTGGGAGAACGATTTCAAGGAATATGACGGCTCCTTGAAACCATGCTTCCGTAGTAATTATTCCCGAGTCTGCCTGAAAGGTTTCTCAGCCATTTCCTCCAAGAGACACTCCGATGGTGGTGCGGTCTTATTGTTGCCTCTGAACTCAACCCGTAATACAAATGCAATGCAAAGAACGTGACCGACCAGTCGTCAGACAAATGACTTTTGCTATCTGGGCTGGACAGAGTGACTACTTTCTTTGAGAGGCAGACGGAGACAACATTGGCCAAGTGGAGAATATAGGGACGTATAATACAACTTGGTTTGTTTGGGGTAGCAGATAAGATGCGATTGTGAGAGA